GGGGGGGGGGTTGCGTGTGGAATGCGCTGCCAACGTGGTAGTGGAGTCAGGTACTTCAGAGGCGTTGAAGCGACTCTTGGGTAGGCACATGGAGGATAGTGATATGTAGGGTATGCAGGGTAGTTTGATTTTTGTAGGATAATGGGTCGGCACAACATCGTGGGCCGAAGGGCCTGTGCTGTGCTGTACTGTTCTATGTTCCATATTCCTATGTAATCGACCCTGCTCCCCACCATGATCCGGCCCCGGAGACGCGCTCTGGAGACCTGGGGCAGCAAACGTTTCACTGAATGGCCGCCTACGGGACCGGGAGGGTGCTGGTTGATCGAATATTGCGGTCGGCCAAGGGGCAGGGTGATCACAGCCTACCCTGGCTGGGCGAAACATCGAGAGGGTCAACGTCTGTCCAAAACAAGTGTGTGTCCAAACCTCCTGAAATCGGGCTGAAAGCGTGCAGGAAAGCAACAGAAACGTAACAAGGGAAATAAATTGTTATGGGCCAGACCAGATCCCCTCAAAATATTTGAAGGAGGGAGCCCGGACCTTAACCTGTTCTCGTTTTAAAGGCAGATGTGAGGTGCGTGTTCCAGATGCGATGCTACTGGTCAAGCCACTCAGCTTTAAGCAAAATATAACTCATTTAAACGCTACAGTTAAAATACCGTTCAAGGATGCAGCCCTCGAGATGACTTTATTAGAACAGTTAGCAGAATAAAAGGTGCAGTAACTTGTGCTAATGAACTGTTCCAACATCGTGATGTCCCGTGATCACACCCCTTGGCAAAAAACACGTCTGTCTCACAGGCAGCAGAGAGAAACCCCAGCTCCGAGAAGCAAACCGAGAAAGAGAGAGAGCTGGGGAAAGAAAACAAAACAAACAAAAAAAAAAAATCGCTTCCACTTCTTCCAGCCCACTACAGCAACTGCTTAAAACTAAGCCGAGAAATTAAGAACGAAAACAGCTGGGAAACCTGGTCTGTGAAGGCTGGCCACACCCAGCCAGGGCTGCTTCTATTGTTCCAACCGTCAACAAAAAAAAACCCCAAAGTTTCACAGGCCTTACGGGCTCCTCGGCGCCTCTCGTTCAATCTCTCTTAAAGCCACAGCATCGCCACCAATATACACACCGCTGTCTATTTGCAGCGTGCGTTACGTTGCAGTAGGTAATATTTTTGCCGGCTTATCTGGAGGGCCGCTTGGTAAAGCCCCGGGTGTATCAAGGGTTTCGGGGTTTCTCGCTCTGGACAGGCTACGTTGGGAGTCGGGGGAAGGGGCCGAGGCCGACGCGGCGGGGGTCCGTACCTTTCTCGGTGGGGACGCAGGCCGCGGGTGGCCAACGCACGGCATCGGCTGTGCCCAGGCAGTCCAAGCTGAGCTTGCTTCCCATCCCCATCGACAGCATCTCCTGCAACCGCAGCTCTGGAGGAAGGCAGGAGAACATTTTCAAGGGGATAGCCGCGCTTTCCCAATCCCGCTGAACAGACTCCTTAACTCCGACGCGAGCAACCCCAAATTTGGATTGATGCCCGGAGCTGGCGAGTTGCCCAGCAAGCAACAGGCTGGCCTTGTTTCGACCAGAGATCACAGGAGAAGTGGTGGGGTTGGGGGGACTGGCCCGATCTGATGTATTACTGTCACGAGTACCGAGATACAGTGAAAAGAATTGTTCTGTATGCTAACCAGACAGGCCACACTTTACATCAGTGCATCAGGGTAGCACAACAGAATGCAGAACGCAGTGTTCTTAAATCTGTTAGTGAGGGGAAGGAGCTGTTCTTAAATCTGTTAGTGAGGGGAAGGAGCTGTTCTTAAATCAGTTAGTGAGGGGAAGGAGCTGTTCTTAAATACGTTAGTACGGGGAAGGAGCTGTTCTTAAATCTGTTAGTGAGGGGAAGGAGCTGTTCTTAAATCTGTTAGTGCGGGGAAGGAGCCGTTCTTAAATCTGTTAGTGAGGGGAAGGAGCTGTTCTTAAATCTGTTAGTGTGGGGAAGGAGCTGTTCTTAAATCTGTTAGTGAGGGGAAGGAGCTGTTCTTAAATCTGTTAGTGCGGGGAAGG